CTAGCAGTATTTACCGATGAAATGGCAGCTGAAGCAAGTTATTGTACTGAACTGATAGCGGACATATGGCGTAAGAAGTATCAGATAGCCGCAAGTACTTTGGTCAGAGAAACTGAAGAACAACGTGAGAGTCAGCAGGAGGACAATGTCGGTACTCATCTGCCGTGTAATAATTTATCTATTGTTATTTTGACTACTCTCGACTCCATTATTTTAAAAATTTATTTCATTCGTTCATTCTCGTATTCTGTTCTTGTATTTCTTATCATTTATCATTTATCCGGGAGACAAGGAAATAGCCTCCACGAGATCAATAGTGCCACATCAACTGCAAAGTAAACACTATTGATGGCGTCCCCTGGAAACGCCTACTAGTAGACGGCTAATCTTTCCAACACCGGACCAAACCAAATCAGAAGGCAAACATCAAGCCACAACGGTTGTTTTCAGAGCTAACACTGACAGAAGCGAGCATAAATATCAAGGGCATCACTACAGAAAAACACAGAGACCTAACTGCAGATAGACCTTAAGTCTCCTGTATAAACTGATTGCGGAGATACCACACAATAAGTATTTGTGAGAACTCAAACCATAGTCTCATTTGTAAAAACAACAAATGTACACGGTATAGAGATAATAACCACTGAGATCAGAAAATGCACAATAACCTCGGTATACAAGCCCCCAAACCAGCCTTTTATATTTTCACTCCAACTAACTTCCAATCACAATCCAATCAGCTTATACTGGGAGACTTTAACAGTCACAGTTTACTCTGGGGCTATACAGATTCGGACACAAATGGAGACGCAGTACAAGTATGGGCCGAAACGAGTGGCCTTACGTTAATCGATGAACTCTCACCATCTTTTCAGAGCAAAGTTTGGAAAAGAGGATATAACCCGGATATCTGTTTTTCAAGTAACAACCTCGAAGACCGATGTACCAAAGTAGAATATGGCCCCATACCAAAAACTCCAAAGCATAGACCAATTGGTACAAATATCTTTCCAATTGTCAGACCACAAGCTACTCCATACATGGTAGATTAGTGCTACGTCTTGAACCAAAAGTAGAAAACTACGAAAAATTTGTAGAAGTACTCAAAAATGTGTCTAGAAAAGCTATTCCTAGATGATGTAAACAATGATATGTTCTCGGGATGTCCAGCGAATCCAAAGAACTAATGAAAACATACGAAACCCTCTATTCCACTGACCATTTTAGCCAAGAAATGGTTGACTGCGGAGTAATACTACTCCAACAGCTAAGTCAAGAAAGACAGGAAAAGTGGATTGAGACCCTGGAAAACTGGACATGACACATAATAGCAAAATAGCATGGAACCTTGTAAAAACTTAGTGATGATCCAAAAGAACAAAAACCATGTTACAAAATTACAACAAACCCAAAAAGTCGCTACTTAACTCCTTGTGAATGGAAGAAATTCGAACCGATATAAGAACCCAAACACTAGGAGAATATTGGATTTAGAGACAAACCACCTAGGAACTCCTTTTACACTAAAAGAACTCCACGATCACTCCACTCCATATAGAAATATGGAAATACGTGCTTGGCGGAGGAAGGCGATGGATAGAACGACTGGAAAAAAATTCTTGGGGGGGCTAGGACCTACACAGGGTTGTAAAGCCAAAATAATGATGATGATGAACTCCACGACAGTATAAACAGGTTAAAAAACGGGAAAGTTGCAGGTGTGGATGATATTTACAGTGAACAATTAAACCATCTAGGAAAATGAACAAAAACTGGATCTTGCAATTTTATAACACGTGCTGCCAAACCTGCGAAATTCCAAAATCACGGAAGAAATCCAAAGTATAGCTGTGTTTAAACCAGGAAAGGATCCAGAAAACCCCCAGCTATAGACCTATTTCGCTGTTGTGACACTTTTTCAAAGGTGGAGAGTTAAAAAAAACGGCGTCTCACAGTGAAGTGTTTTAGTACCAATGCTCTTCAATATCTACACAAACGACCAACCTACGCCGACCGAAACCAAGCACTTTCTCTATGCTGACGATAGCAATATGCAATATGTACATTGCAATATATGCTCAAGGAAATAGTTTTGAAGAAGTGGAGGAGAAACTCGAAATTGCTTTAAAAAGAATGACAGCGTACTACCTGCAGAATTCTCTGAGACCCAATCCCTCTAAAACCCAAGTCTGGGCTTTCCACCTTCGCGCAAAGGAAGCCAAGCGAAAACTCCAAATTGCATAAAATGGTAATACATTAGAACACACAAACCAACCTATATATCTTGGAGTATCTCTGGACCGGTTCCTCACCTACAGACAACATTGCATAAAAACGAGAGGGAAAGTAACAACTAGGAACAGCATACTCAGAGAGCTAACGGGAAGTACATGAGGCGCACGTCCTGGCGTTTTAAGAACAACGGCACAGGTACTGTGTTTCTCAACTGATGAACATGCGTGCCCTATTTGGGACTGATCTATAACCGCCTGAGTATTTTCCTCTTCCCCAGGTTCAATGGACGCGGCCAGTCCCTAGACTTTAAAACGTGGAAAACCATGAATAGGATAAGAACGACAGTCGCTCCAGTAAAATCAAACATGGCAAAATGGGGAAAAATGGACCAAGATGATGTGAACTGTGACGTAGCCCGATACTGGGCGGAAATTTTATGAATGATATGTCCGGACACGATAAAGTAAAGTAAGTATCATTTATCCAACATTTACTATCGTACAAGACCACAAATACGGCCATAGTTTTATAAAATTCCATTTTCGTATCACCTATCTGCTGTTCTATGATGCAGTGTTTTGTTTATTATACTGCATTACTCGATATTTACGTATTTTATTGTCTACATTCATTATTTGTGTCGTACTTCAACTATTAAAAATGTAAATCCGCTCTATTGGTCTATTGTCGAGCATTATTTGGAGCGCATTTCAAATGATATAACTGTGCAAAAATGTAAACATTCATTCAAAAAATTACGTAATTGCTTAGCGTAATGAGTAATGATATTTTTGTTTACATTTAGAAACAATTCATAGTAAAAGATTTGCGTATGTTTGCTAATATCTACGTGCTTTTTTTATCATACTCTATTATCCTTCTGGTAATATTTACATAACAATTAAATAAAAAATAAAATCCTAAAGTTGGCAGATATAGAACAAAGTGTGATTAATTTCAGAGGTTGTTAGACTATAAATATGGATAAGTCATAGCCGATGATTAACATATTGGCGATATCGTCGCCAAACACTTTTTAAAACAAATTTCACCGCTTCATTAAACTTGTTATATCAAAGATTATTATATTTCAGATTGCTGCAAGTCTATATAACATTTCATCAAATAAGGAGTATGGTGAAAGAAGGATCATGATAATCACTGGCTCGACAACGCTTTTTGGGTCTTGGCCTGTTCCAGGATTCTTCTCCATTCTGGATCTGATCTGTTTCGTGCTTTTTTCCTCCAGTTTTTATTGTTATGGTTATTATATCATTTTCTATTTGTTCTAAGTATCTCAGTTTCGGTCTTTCTCTTGTTCTTTTTCCTACTGGAATCTGTTTGAATATTTTGTTTGATATCTTGCCTTCTTCCATTCTACACAGTGGCGGCTCGTGGCTTAAGAGATAAGGTCGGCAAGGTATTTTTTGTCTCCTCAGATAGGTATACCGTCTAATAAAGACTTCAATCATCATAGGAGATTTTTTGTTTTCTTGTTTTTTGGTTTTTTTTTTGTTTTTTTCCTATAAATTTAGAACCTAAACATGTTTATAAATTAACTAGTCTACGTTGTTTGGAAGTAGTAAAATGGGTAATAACGTCATTGTAAAATTTATTAGAGTTTTGGAGAGATTTTAAAAGTTTTTTTTCTATTGACATTTGAGACAAGCTTGACATTCTCTCTTGTTTCATGGTATTTCGACAATAAGTTTTGATTCTTTTGAGGCAAGAGAAATTTCGTTCATTTGAGGCAGACGTTGGTGGTAATGAGAGAATTAATGACAATAATTTATTAATTTCGGTAACATGCAGTATATAAAATTATACATATCTTGTAACTTATGCCATCTTCCGAAAATATTTGGATCAGCGTATAAAACTTTTAATTCATTTTCTAATTTTATTTTTTTAAAGAATGATGGATAATTTCTAATTAACCTGTCTAATAAATATCTTGGAAACTCTTTGGTGTAACTTTTAAATTTCGAATCAGCAAAGAGGTCAAAAATTTGCAAATCTTCAAAATTCGAAAAACGAGTATCTATTTGCATAATAATAGTATCCAAAATTTCAAAATATACTCGTTTTTCGAGATCTGTTTCTGTGTCATGCCTTTGTCTTTTTTTTGGGGGTTCGGAAATATCAAGCGTTCCATATCACCAGTCTTGTTATTCTATTTTTGGAATGAATAATGTCAGTTAACTGATTTTGGACAACATTGAATATCAAATCGGTTTGGGTAAACACTTTCTTAAAAATATTTAAAAGTATGTTAAAAGAGTAATCATTTAATAAATCAGAAATCATAAATCATTCAAACCGATTGCTTCACGGATCGAGATATCATCACTTTCAAAATCGTCACATTCAATAATAAAATCAAAAACTTCCAAAAGCTGTTCACGAAAATCTGCTACAGTGGAAACTAACCGAGATTTAAAATTCCATCGCGTCTGACAAACTGTTTTTTTTTCGAAACAAACCGTTCTAAAACATTAGTATAAAAGAACCTGGGAAGATGGTTTAAAAAGATTAAAAAAAAACAATGCTCTGTTTTTATAAACTTAATTCTTTGGATTTGGAATCTTTCTGAAAATTACTATTTTTTTTTCAGACCTTTTTTCAGCAGTGTATACACAACATCTTTTCATATTTCTTAATACTTTTATACACTTTTTATCACATTTTATAATACCTTTGTCAATATTTGCGTAGGTTTTAAATATTTATAGGGATATAAACTCGAAAGGTATAAAAGAAAATGTTGATCTCAACACAGCGTACGATCATAAACATGGATAAGTTTGTTAAAATTATTTATATTTTTACATTTTTGTACACATTGTCGAGTGCTCAAACCACAAATGATTATTGTCAATATGATTGTAGTGGTAAGACCCATACAGTTTGTCTTCGAAAAGATGTAGTAAGTGTTTATTTGTCTAAATTTTCTATAAATTTGTGTAGTTTTCTATAGTTGCTGTAGCTGTATTCTTGAGGTTATTTTACTATATATTGTTGTGATTTGCTTTATTATTATTATTTATAATTAACACTTATTTAATTAATCCAATTATTTCATTAATTAATTCACTAATTTATGCAGAGTCATACAATTCAATTACTATTAAAAATTCTCATGGTGTTCTTTTTTTGTTAATTATTACTTTAATCAGTTTACTTTAGATATCTCTTCTAGTGGGTTCAGTATCTCCTAGTTGCTCATAATCGGGATAGAACAGGAAACGGAACTAACATTAAAACAACATAAATATGCACACAAATTATTATTTATTTTAAATAAGCAATACAATGAATATTAATAAATAACTTTTGTGGGCAATTATCTTTCCCAACAAACTCCTATACTCTAAATTTAATTTTAATTACAAACTATCTATTGCTCTGTTTTATGATAATATCTACTAAAAAAATGACCATATAAAGATATAATTTATTCACAAAAAAATAACTTTTTGAAACTTGGAATCTTAGTTCGTATGCTTATATTTGATTTTATCTTTAGAATATCTTAAAATTTTCTTTCATTCAAATTATTTGACTGACCTTTATTTTTACACCAATGATGTCTTCTCTCGATCAAACCACAGTTCCTCCCTTAATTGATTATGTCCGGCTACCATCAAATCTTTCCCGTTCTCAGCATCGATCCAAACCGCATGCCAGCAAACTACTCCTCCGAAAACACAAGCCCAAGCCTCTTTTGACCGGTACTCTTTATTCACAAATTCTCCTTTCTTTCTCAATTATATCTCGTGGACTATGCAGACTCAAAGGAGGTATTAATCTTCTCGATTTTGATCTGCTCTCAGCTTCCACCTTTTTCACTAACAAACGAAAACACTGGTACTCAGATTGACTACACGAAAATACGTCTTCTCTTCTGGTCTGCCGGTAACATAATAATCTTTCAATCTCTCCCAGACAACCTTCTCAACTCTCTCATTCCCACCATTTTTTTTAACCAATCATAAGCATTCATCTTTCCTACTTATTTTCGATTTAGAAAATTTCCAACATGATATTTAAAACAAATAAACTACTTTCACTCAAATTACTTTTCAGAAACCATTAACAATTTTGCCTTTTTCAACAGAAATAAGTTTCCAAATTCTTGTTATCTCTTATCTAAATCTAATTCTTATTTACTTTCGACAAATGCCCACCGCAAAATACAATTACAAGTTTATTCCTAAATCTATAATTATACGGGTTCCATTGTTCTTTCACTATTCACTCAGTCTTTCACGGAAAAAACTCGTTAGGGTCCCGTCACGGAACAATGTTTTCTCTTATTCTAACTATTACAAATAAGTACAGGGTTGTATTTTAACTTATATGCCGCGGTATATTAAAATAATAAAAAACTCTTTATTCTATTTCTGATCGATAAACTGATCCATAACAATATATTTTTTAATTAAATCGAGATATTGTTGATATATTCTGGCATTTCACATGGCAGAAATTATTGAGTTGGTTTCTATAGTGTCACACGCCTTCTTGAAATTTGCAAAGACCAACCATGAATGTACATTATACTTATTTGTCTTTTCTATGATTGGTTTGACTGTACATAAGTGGTCTGCTATACTGTACTTTTTGTGAATTTTGAGAATATCATAACGCCCTTCCTAGATAAAGCAGAAAAACTGATCATACTAAGTGATTTTAATATAAATTTTAAAATGAATCTGAACCTTCTTTTTATATTCAAAATCTCTTTTGGTCTAGAAGTAACTATAAACGATTATACTTAAATCACATCCGAGTCCAGTAGTTGCATTGACAACATTATGATTCTGAAAATATTTACAGAGTGGAGGTATTTGAACCTTGTTTTTCTGACCATCGAATTTAGGTAATGTTTATTTATTAACTCTGAGCATAAAGTTGTTGACGCTAATCAAACATTTCAACGATTTATTACTTCTTCTGGCTTACAGAAGCTTAAACGTGCGCTTGCTTGTATAAAAATGGAGTTTTTCTATAATATTAATATTGATACTGATTTTTTGGCTTACCAAAACTTATAATAACTTCAATAAACACCAAAATTCTGATTTTATACAGGGTGAGTCATGAGGAACTTTACATACTTCTACCATATGTAGAGTCCCTCAGGGAGCATATCATGTGGCCACTAAAACGTCAACTCCTCTTCTTTATTAATTAACAGGGTGATTTGTGTAATTGAACATTTGATTTTTTTAATTTTTGCATGATACAGTACACTACGCTCAAGCATTCAACTGGTATTAGCTAAACTAAAAAATTCCAGGACTGGCTTTGGAAAAATTAATTTAGGGATTTGTATTAAATATTACACCCTGTATATATATATATATATATATATATATATATATATATATATTTAAATGCAATAAGTGATTTTCAAACTAAATAAATAGCTAATGAAAACGACATATGCGACAATGTTGTCGCCCTTTTATTAAACTTTTAGTGAACGATCAAATCTTACCAAAAATAGAACAATCATAATAAGGTATCAAATTATAAGGTAATTAATTTAAACAAATGTTATAAATTTCAAACATTTTAATTGAAATGATAAACTGAGTCACTGCACAACAAAAAACAGTAACTACTAACAATAACGAAGAACAATTAAAAAAAAACTAAAAATATGTACATAGTTATGATAAACCCACAAATTAGACCTGGAAAAGATACAATAATGGTAACAAAATAAAAATAATTCAAAATAGATTTTCGAAATGGAACCCTGCAGCCTGTACACATTTTTGTTGCCGAATTGTTAATTGACGTATTGAATTACGGATACTCTGGGAATCGTTTCTAATAGTATTAAAACAATGTATAATTCTGTCAATTAATTGTTGTCGGTTATTAATATTCACTGCCTAAACTAGTTGCTTCAATCGTCCCCAAATATGGTAATCAACGGGATTGAAATCAGGGGATCTTGAAGGCCACGAAATAGGACCTGCACGTCCTATCCACCTGTTGCCATAAACATTATTGAGATGTTGTCTCACTGCCAGTAAAAAGTGTGGGGGTGCTCCATCATGCTGAAAATACATCCCTCGGATAGCAACGTTCGCGTTGGCAAGCAAATTCGGCAAAATATTTTGTAGAAAGTTCAAATAGACTTGCCCTGTTAAAGGACCATCAAAAAAGTGAGGACCTACTAATTGGTCATTTATGACACCAATCCACACGTTAACCGAAAACCTTAACTGAGAACGACGTTCTCGAATAGCATGGGGATTTTCTTCTGCCCACACATGTGAATTTCGTGAACTATTTATCCCGTCTCTGGTAAATTGGGCTCCATCTGTAAAAAGTGTCCTGTATAGCGTTGGTAGATTAATGTTAATCCATCTACAAAATTTCAACCTATCGATCTCATCTCCAGCATGTAGTCGCTGAACCATTTGAATGTGATATGGATATAGATTCTTTTTTGTAAGACTCTACTTACTTTTGATTGAGTAACATTGAGTTCTCGACTTACTTGTCTAGTGCTTATTGTAGGGTTCATAGTAACGGCGTCCATAATGTCATCTTCCTGCGCTTCATCTACATGTCGCTCTGTTGTTCCACTAGGAAAAGTGCCATTTTCTCGCAAATAATTAAAAACTGACCCAAATGTTGGATGACTGGGAGTTCGACGATTAGGAAATCTCCTGCGATATTCTCTACTAGCAGCCCTACCATTCCCATTACAGAATCCATAAACAAATATTATGTCTGCATATTCTGTGGTCGAAAACTGATACGGCATTTTGAACGAAAGTAACAAAAGCTCTACCAAAACTAACACAATGTACTTAATGTAGATATGACAGAAGAAATATGTATTTTTGTACACATAAATAACAATTGATAATGACAATAATGACAATGGGTATAAAATATCAAGAAACGTCAAACGGTCAACGCCAACCTTAATTTTAAACTTTTTTAGATTTATTTTTATTTAGTACAGTTGATGCAATGTATTATTATTTGACATAAAATTTTAATCATTTACAACCAACAAAACACTAACACATACAAGAGGTTTGACTTTTTAATCAATTTAATTTATTATATATCGAAAATAATGCCCCAATACGATCTATGAGTAAAAATTTAAAATTGAAAAACAATTGATTCTATCGTAGAGATAATACAAAGTGACAGTAAAGATCTTAATTTTCTACGTAATAGATTATGTTGTAGGAACTCATTTTAATTAAAATGTTTGAAATTTATAACATTTGTTTAAATTAATACCTTATAATTTGATACTTCATTATGGTTGTTCTATTTTTAGTAAGATTTGATCGTTAACTAAAAATTTAATAAAAGTGCGAGAACATTGTCGCATATGTCGTTTTCATTGGCTATTTATGTAGTTTGAAAATCACTTATTGCATTTTAAAAAAAATATATACAGGGTGTAATATTTAATACGAATCCCTAAATTAATTTTTCCAAAGCCAGTCCTGGAATTTTTTAGTTTAGCTAATACCAGTCGAATGCTTGATAGTAGTATACTGTATCATGCAAAAATTAAAAAAATCAAATGACCGTACAAACACTACAGTAAAATGAAATAAATGGTCAATTACACAAATCACCCTGTTAATTAATAAAGAAGAGGAGTTGACATTTTTAGTGGCCACATGATATGCTCCCTGAGGGACTCTACATATGGTAGAAGTATGTACAGTTCCTCATGACTCACCCTGTATGTTTCGTTATTTAAAAAATATAAATGATGTATCCTCTATATGTTACTGACTTACTAATACTGGTATTTTCTTATTAATAACTTCCTCTTTCAATATTGGTAACCAGATCCTACTACATTCTGCCGAGGAATTTGCGACACAATTTATTAATAAAAAAATACCAGTATTAGTAAGTCAGTAACACATAGAGGATACATTATAATAACTTATTAAAATAATGTTAAAAAATTTTCCACTAAAAAAAGTACGACCAATTGCTGAAAAAAACATCCGTGTAACGGTTTAAAAATGAATTAAGGTCTTACAGATCTAATTTTTCTGTTATTAAACACATTGCAGATGCCACTGAGGATCCCGATTTGTTTAAAGTATATAAACAACAAAAATTTAAATATAATTAGCAGCTACAAAATGTTACAAATCAGCGTAATCTAATTTTATTACTAATTTCAATAATAAACTTAGAGACTGCTGGAAAATAGTAAATTTCGAAATAAACAACACAATAATTGTTCTTATTTTAATTTACTAAAACACGATAATTTATATCAATTTACTAAACCACTGTACAACAATTTATTTGACTAATAATTACATAATTTATTTATACGTGCGTTACATTTTAACTTTTTAAGATTTAGGATTTTAAAACGCGACTCGATTTATCTTCTCTGACTAACTTTGCCCTTCTCGAAAATACTGGAAGGCTGGTTCTTTCATTCAACTTATTTCCAGACCGTTCGAATGGACCAGTTCTTTTATTACTTGGAATTTCCGCTAGCTAGTCGAAGTTGCTAGGCGAAATCCAATTCAGTATATTTACGTTAATAATTATAGTTTAGTTAAAAATGGATAATAGTCTCTTTGTTTGATCTCTAGAAATTTATATTTTGTATTTCAGACAAACATTTTTATGTAAAATTTATTTTTTTAGAACTGCGGTAAAGGATCAACTTGCGGTTCAAACTATCGACCTATTCCGTTGACAGATGCTGATAGAAGATTCGTGTTGGATGTCCATAATAAATTGAGAAACAAGGTTGCTTCTGGCCAGGAAACCAGTGGAAATCAACCTTCTGCTTCCAATATGAAGGCTGTTGTAAGTATTGGTCTAAAATATTTTCATATTAGGATCCATTAAGCGGTAGCGGGTAGATACTCATCTATGATCCCGATAGGTGACAGATCTACTTCAGGGATGCGCCCCTGCTCACGCGAGCCTTGGTTTATCTCCTAATATCATACAGGGAAAACCATTGTCCTACCCTCAGTCCAAATCCAAACCTACCTTTTCTCTCCCAGTACCCTGGATGGATTTACCGATAACGACAAAAGATTAAATATGGAAATGATTTTTGATTAACGAATAGGAAGATGGTCCTCCGAAGAATAGGGGTTGAGGCGCCGGGCCTGCTACCCGATAATCGGAAAAGTCATTATGCAAAAACCAATCTAACACAGCCTCGGATTTTGGACGGAAACAAGGATATACGACTTAGGCGAAGAAAAAGGACTATAAGAATAGGAAAGTGCAATATACAAGGAATCGCATCTAAACAAAATGAAATAATCCCAGAAATTGAAAGACTACGCACAGATATAATAGTCTTAAGCGAAACAAAAAAAAAGGCCAAGGAGAGGAAATTAAAGGGAAATATACACACATATGGAGTGGAGTTTGCAAACATGAAAGAGAAGCAAAAGGAGTATCAATATTAATAAAAAATAAATGGAAAAAATATATACAAGATTACCAGCAAATAAATGAAGGAATAATGGAAATTAGGATGAACATATTTGGACAACCAACAATAATTGTTGGAGTATATGAAATGAATGACAATATCAACAAAATACCAACAAAATCAAAAAACTAACAACAAGGATTCAGATCCGGAAGATTCTGCCTAGACGCATCCAGAAGATTCGCACTGACAAAGGCTTTCGATCGCATCTAAGACGAAGACGTCTTACACCTACGGAACCTCTTATACAAACCATTGAAAACATCTACTTACATAATTGAATACAGGCAAAGCTAAATGGAAAACTAACACAGTGTATACCAGTACTGTAGCATTTGCAATTTATTGATTTTTTTGGTGTATATTGAAATCCCCTCGTATATGTAATATATTGAAATCCCTTCATATATGTTTAAGAAATAGCAGAATATTTTTTAATATGTTTCAATTCCCGATTAGTACGTATTAAAACACCAAATTCTTTCAATTCCTTTTAGCGCCGCCAAATAATAAAAACCATTTTAGAGTTGTTTATTTATTTCGCAGCTGCGTATTTTTCTTCGATATTATTCTTTGATTTAAGCCGCCCGAAGTACTGCGTTTTCAAATTAATAACTTATGCCTTAATTTCCGTTGTGTTTTGTTTACTTTCAAGTTATGTGAACGAATTTTTAAGATAATTTCGCCATTCTTACTTGGGTCGTTGTAGGCTCAGGTATGGATCCAAATTCATCCGTCGAATTTGGGGTTTTCTGTTTTTGGCCCCTTTTTATGGAAATATGTAGCAGTAAAAAGTAAATTGTGAAGTATGTCTAGTTACAGAGGAGGTTAAAAAAAAGTATTTAAGAGATTTGTGTCGTCTGCAGCAATTCTGATGTTCCAGTTTGTTTCCTGTTGAAGTGCTTCTTCATTCTCGCTGTTCCTGAAGCAGTTTGTTTACTTCCAGTTATAGTTCCAGTATTCTAGTGTAAAACCCAGTGCAGTCCAGGTAACTTTTGTGTAAATATTTAAAGTAAAGACAGACATTTTTTTAATTAATACTTTGCTTTCATTAAAATTTAATGGATTTGTAATAATAAATTATAAAATTTTAGGGTTTGACTTTAGCTGTCAATTTGTGTGTTCAGTTTTTTTTTAATTTATTGTTAACTTATGACAGCTCGTTTTATTATATTTTGAATTTAGTTTGTTTTATTTTTAAAAAAGGTTAACCTTCATGCAATTTTATAAGTTTTGTAGCAACAGAGTTTGTAAACGGCTAGAACACATTTAAGCTTTTTTTGTTATTCTTGTTCTCTGTAACTATTAATCTATATGTAAATTTGTGCCATTATTTTTATAACTGTTTGCGGTAAGACACAATAATTGTTAAATTTTGTTTCATTTGAATGTTTTATTTGAAAAAGATATGTTTTTCATTTTTAATAATTATTTCAATAGTTACAACTAGTGTAATAGGTCTAATTAGACATCTGAAAGTGGCGCCCTATATTAAATTACTAGAGGTGTTTCCTGTTTCTTTTTTGCTTTGTTTATCCCAAGAAATTCATGACCTTTTGTTTCATATTTTTGTAGTTTCCCCAATCGACCCTCCTTATCTTTTACTTATCCACGACCCCAGCTCTCCTAACAAACCCTGAGTGCCGTTCGCACAAGTAGCGTTTATTTTGCTTGCCCTATCTTTATCCCCATAATCTTACGCTAAGTTAGGCAAAATATCTTCGTTACTGAACAAAGCGGAGTCAGACTGGGTGACTCATTAAGCCCACTTCTTTTTAATATAATAATGGATGAAATAATACAAGCAGTACGTAAATATCATGGTTACAGAATAGGGAACAAAGAGATACAAATATTATGTTATGCAGACGACGCCGCATTAATCGCCGAGACAGAAGACGAGCTCCAAAGATTAACACAATATCTTCAAAACAATAGCCAAGAAATGCAATATGATAATATCAGCAGAAAAAACCAAATGTATGACAACATCTAAATACCCACTACGATGTAAAATCAAAATTGATGGGAAAATAATAAAGTAGGAAGCAAAGTTTAGATATCTGGGAATAGATATAACTAGTTACGGACATGTTAAAGAAGAAGAAGCACGACAACAAAGCTTAAAAGAAAGTAAAGCGGCGAGACCTCTTAATGACACAATCTGGAAGAACAAACACCTAAAACAAGACACAAAAACAAGAATCTATAAAGCAGCAATTAGACCTATATTAAAATACACGGCGGAGACAAGACCTGATACATCTAAAACGAGACTACTAGAAACAACTGAGATGAAAATACTCCGACGAATATCAGGGAAAAGTCTGTTGGATTGGGAGAGAGGCAAAAACATAAGAAGAGCATGAAATATAGAAGACGAAAATGGATGGGCGACTAGACGGAAACAGGAGTGGAACAAACACCTTACTAGAATGGCAGAGGATATGATAGTACGAATAGCACGAGATAAGACACCAAATGGACGAAGAAGCATCAGCATATCGAGAAAAAGATGGTGTGATACTTTAAACAATTTAGGAGGCTAATATTGAAGAAGAAAAAGACACACAAGAAGGTAGAAGAAGAAGAAAAAGAACATCAAGTAAAGGTTCTTTTGACATAAAGGTATGTTCTTTTTCTTCTTCTAGATTCTTCCGTTTTTCTCCGGTCTAGAATTTTCTATCAGCTATCATTTTCTATTTCTCCAATCACTTTGTTATCATATTTTTTCTTCAAACGTCAAATAATGATGACATTACTTATCTAACTTGATCCTGTCAAAGTTTGATGTCTCCGCCGGCAGCAGTTTTTTCCCATTTCTTTACAGCGGAGGGAAAAATGTTGACATGGCAACAATATGAAACATGTCACAAAGCAACAATACAAATGTCATTAACAATAATTAAACACCATTTTTATTTATAGTAATATTAAAAGTACAATTAGTTAATGAGGCATTTTCAAAATTGAAACCGTGCAAAAATGTTCCCGACTCTTGATACGCATTGGTAATTGTTGATGATACTGATGGTCGAGAACAACTTTCAGCAATCATTACCGATGTTGGCGAATCATGAGGGTTTAAAATTTTTTAAGCATTATCGTTCTTATTTCTTATTGAATCCTCTATACAATATCCTTCGGCAAACGTGCTTGATTTCCAGCCCCAATGTCTTTTGAGGCATTCTAGATTTCCGCCTCCATCAATTAAAAGTGTTGCTGAAGTTCGTCGTAAAGAGTGACCCGTGTATGCGCTTGCATCGTTTAAATTTAAATAACTAGCTACTTTTTGGGCTACTGCGCTGATCGAATGTATTCCCATGACGCTTCGGTAACACTTTCCATTTTGGTACTAGATAAAAAAATCGGTTTTCTGTGAAATTTTCAGGCCGCAGTGATGCATACTTTTTATACAGTTTAATGTAGTTTTGACCAATTATCGTAAAAAAACTAATTTGTCGTGTTTTACTGTCTGGGATTTTGATAATTATTACATTTTCTTTATCCTCAATGTCCACAGTCTTCATTTTTACCATTTCGTCGCATCGACAGGCGCCGGTAACACCAATTAACAAAACAATCTGGAATATTTTTATAATTTAGTAGAGTATACTACATGCTTTGCAATATATTTTTTTTTTACCTTTAATCCTAAATACAACTTATCTGGCGCTTCAAAAAAATTTATCAAACTCTTCTTTACTGAAAACTTTAGATTTCTTTGCAGTATATCCTTCGCTTGTTTTTTTCAGAAAGGCACGTAACTTTAAAAATTTGCTTATATCCACATTTTTTCTAATAACTAACTTGGATTGGTGACCACATTGTAGAAGATTTCCATTTATTTTCATTTTCCATTATGTTAAAATATGCCAGTAAAACGTCTTCGGTAACTTGCCGTACTCCTCTTGTATCGCACCACTCTTGGAAGTGCTTGTACGCTAACCGATACTTTATTCCGGACTTGGAGGGCCCCTAACGTGCTACTGCATAATTAGCCGCGGACTCAATTTCGTTTAGGTTTTCCATTTTCGCACTAAATTTGCGCTTGCGGTTGCAACAACAATAAGCTGTCTTTCATAATTGCAAACAACTGTCAAACAACTGTAACCAGGGAGACGCAAATCCCACCGACGACTTAATTATTTTAATTTCTAACATCTAGACGACTTTGATAGTTGTCACAGTTAATTTCGAGTAAAAATAGCGTATGAATTGTACTATTAATGGTTGAAAATTTGAAGAAAATTTGAAGAAAAAATAGTATATTTTATTCGGCAAAGAAGCGACTTTTCTTGACTTGCCCACTATTATAGCCCATATCGGGCGCGTCAAGAAAAGTCATTCTTCTCCGCCTCATAAAGTAATATACTATTATTAATCTTTTCCTAATAATTTTTGCAAATATTTTATAGACTACTTCTAATAGTGCTATAGCTCTATAGTTTTCGCACTCCCTTTGGTATAATTTTTTATAGATAGAACAAATAAGAGCACATTCTATTGTTTCGGCATTTCTTCCTTTTGCCAAAATATTAGTGTCAAGTGAAATATCCTTTCTTTCAATCTTTCGCCAGCTTCCTTAAATTTCTCAGCTGGGATAACACTTCCTCCTGCACTTTTGTTATTTTTTAGGTCTCTTATTATTTCTTTGACTTCATTCAGAGTTGATTCCTCGCACGGCCTTTCTTCATCTTCTTGCCAATTCTCATTTCCCTCAAATTCCTCTTGTTGGTCTATATTTACTAGATCTTCGAAATATTCCGCCTGTTTAATTTTTCTGTTGTTTCACCTGGAAGTAAGCCTTCTTTCTTTCTGCAATACTGTGGATTATTCTTTGTAGTTTTTGTGGATTTCTTAACTTTTTGGTCGAAATTGTTTATCTCTTTGTAAATGCTAGAAACAAAATCTAGTACATAAAAAAATTATTTTTTAGAGTTATAGTAAGGAATTAGAAACTATTGCCCAGTGCCACACCAACAACTGTGTTTTTGCTCATGATCAATGTAGAAGGACAGGTAAGACACTCTTATAAGTATTTTTCTCATTAAATATAATTTTACTATAACTGCCTACTAGCCGATGCGTGTCTGATAAAAGGTAAACCTTGAAACACGTTTAGAAGATTAGGGAGGGACTCGAATTGAATCGAAACAAACCGTCTACATTTATTTTTTATTTTTCTAATATTTTTACATTATTACAATCTAGTTTGAGATTGATAACAAATTTTTTGAAGTCAAGCTTTTAATGTTAACTTGGGATGGTACTCTTATGATGGCAAAAAAGCAAATGAAGGACCTTACAATATTAGACAGAAAAATCTTCATAGATAAAAGAATAATATTAAGACTATTGTTATAATTCTAATTTATTGTTCTTATTTTAATTTACTAAAACACGATCCAATACCGCTAGACTAGAAAAGTCGATCGCCTTCTCGTCTGGTATAGAGTTTCTCGAAACCCGTGTATGTTGACCTGGTGAAAATACTAGAAGGTTACGAGCTGGTTTCTTTATTCAACTTATGGTCAATGGACCGGTTCTTTTTTATTGCTTGGAATTTTCTCTAGCTAGTCGAAGGGTCTTGTAGAATCTAGAACATATTAGTAAATAAACAACATGCTTACAGGTTTTTGAATATGACTAATTTTTACGTAACACTAATAAAAATATTTGAAATAAAATTTAGATAAAGAAACAATTTGAGCTTCTTATCGAAGCTCAATTAGCTAACGAAGCCTAAGTAAGCAATGAGCATGGTATTAAATACGCCTTTAGTTTCTAAAGATGTATTTCATTTCAGTTGGTTAATACTTAGGTATAATTACCGCGAATATGTATATATGCTAATGTTTTCGTTGAGTTTCCAGCTAAATTCTTAATTTGGTCGGACCATCTAATTGGTGATCGTCCTCTTGATCTTCTCCCCAGAACGTTTCCAAAAACAATTAATTTCTCCAAACTATTGTTACCTCTGCGAACCACGTGACCAAAATTGTGGATAGCCTTTTTTTAAATCTCGAGTTGGTTTAGAATGGAAACGTTTGTTCTAAGAGCTGTCCAAGTTATCCGCATATACACAGATTTCGGGAATGCTTTGACCAAAAGATATATCTACTTCCAACAAACTCTGTAAATATTTTCGATAATGGTCCTACCAGAATTAAGTCAGTGACGTAAAAGAATTCGTTGAAAAGGTGAGGTGATAACAAATACGGTTTTGATAAAAAAATTAATATAATGGCATTGCCAAATGGGCACTATATCATATTTTTGTTATTATTGATCCGATTTTAATGTTTGTGACGTTAAATAAAAGGTTATTGAATATGTTAAGTGAGAGCGCCCACCAAAATGGCGTGGCAGTGGCAAGTAGCAAGTAGCACGCGTCTAGCATAATGTAACCAATGAAAACGAATGATTCAGTTTACACTAAAATGACAGTAACGTCATTCATTCTAATCATTCGTTAGGATTGGTTACATTATGCTAGACGCGTGCTACTTGCTACTTGCCACTGCCACGCCAGTTTGGTAGGCGCTCTCCCTAAGACAAAAAACAAACATAATGAAATTAAAAGGACGCTAGATAATAATAAATAAATAAATAAATTTTTAAAAGAAAAAACAAATATTACAGAATTACCAAAGGGGCACTATATCGTATCTTCGTTGGTATTAGTCCGATTTTGACATATAAATACATAGAAAAAAATACCGCCTGATAATGGAAAAACAACTATCGTAAATTGTAAATGTAACTACAAATATGCTTGAAAATAGCAGATAGTACTGATAATCTCCAATTGTTTGGTTTAATTCGTATATCCTTTATATTCATATTGCTGATTACTTAACTGAGTTATATCTGAAACTCAGTTCTATTATATTTGGACCTTTTACATGGAGAAAAAGACAAATAAAGAAAGTTTTGAACCAAATTAGAAATATATACAAGAAATTATTGTAAACAAAGAAGACATAAATACAAACAATGTCCAGAAATATTGGTTGAAATTATAGAAGTGAGTGGGATAGAGTGAGAGAAAGAGAAAGATAGAGCATAACGAGTCTATATCTACCTACAAGAAGGGGGATAAATAATTATGTGAAAATTATGGACCTGTTAAATTTTATATACAAAATATTGGTAAATGTAATAAATATCAATCAAGATCTATACAGAAAAAATGCTAGGAAACTGCCAAAATAGGTTTAGACCAGGAAGATCGACGATAAATGTTATATATAGTTAATCAAACCCTGGAGTAGCTGGTAAAACAACATTTTTTTATAAAAATTATTCTTCATTAACCAAAATCTCCTTTAGTGGGAATACAATCTTCCCAACGCTTTTCCAATTTTTTGGTTCTGCCCCTTAAAAAGATTTATCTTTGCCTCCAAGGCAAGTTTTTCGGCAAGTAAGTACTTCTTTATCGGACGGATATCTCTTACCACGGAGCATCTCTTTTAGATCGGATAAAAGGTGGTATTCACTGTGAGTCAGATCTGGACTATATGGTGGATACGAAAGCAATTCAAAGCCCAATTCTTGCATTTTTAACATCGTTTTTCTTCAACAAAAGAGGCCTTTCCTTTGTGATCTTACTCTTCAAATGTTCTAATAAAGCAATGCAGTAATCGTTGTTTTAGACTGTTTCTTTATTATATATCCAGTTTTTTTAGGCGTTACGCCCGTCCGGTAGGGATCTATGGAGGAGTATCACCGAGCCGCAAGCCCTTATCTCTTTCCGTACTGCTCCACCATAGGCCGATCAGATCCCAGCATATTCTAGTCTAAGCCGCAGATTCATCTAGAATTTTAAACTGCTGCGTTAGACTTTTTGTTTTCTGTACACCGAGCTGGGGCTCGATCCCACATCCACTGAACCATTCGACAGTGAAGCGAATGAGAGGCAGCCGCACAGCCCGCTGAGCTATCTGACCGACTTAGACTGTTTCTTCCTGTTTCAAATAGTCAATAAGATTAATTCCTTGCAAGTTCCCAACTAAAGATCGTCTTTGGTCACTTGGTACGGCTTTCTCCAGACGCTGTCCACTAAGATCGCTGTCGATTTAATTCAGGAGTGAAGTGATGGATCCATATTTCATCAATTATGACCAATGCAAAAACTCAGACTTATTTCGAACAAACATATCCAAACAACTCCAAGACTCATTGATTTATTGTTGATTTTGGTCTGGTGTGAGAAACCGCCGAACTCATTTAGAAAACAGCGTTTTCATACCCAAATGTTCCTACTCTTTGATAACTTGTCATTGGTCATTGTCTTTGGTAACTCTGATAAGAGTGTCACTTATCTCTTGCAACTTCACTTCCTATGGTCTCCACCTCCACTGTGGTTTTCCATAAAAATTTTTTGCGTTTCTTTTGAGGTTTTCAGAAATAACTAGCCCATTTGGCCCGCAGACCTCTATTCGTCACTGCACTGTTTACATTAGGTGAATTAAACTTTTTAACAATTTAAGAACACCGTCAAACCGGTTTGGAATACCTAGAATGTGCTTGTTTCTGGAAGAATCATACTGGCAGCAGTATGTCACTACTGGCATATAGTAGTGGCATACTGGAGGGTTTTCTGATGTCATAAGATATCCATGCGTGCGACGTGTATGCCCTTTTCCTAGTCGGTGAATAACTGATTTTTCTTTCCTGTTCATAGAGAAGATATTGACGTGAGATAAGTTAGGTTGAACGTCATGCAGCTTAGTTTCTGTTTTACTCCACAGGTCCGCCCATAAGCTGAGGATTTTTATTTAATCAATATTTTAAGATCTGTATGGATTTGGAGCTCTTTGAAGGCTAAGTCGGAAGAACATGCTGTTTTAGCGGCTTGGTCTGCTTTTTCGTTTCCCAATACACCAACATGAGATGGAGTCCAGATCATTATGACTTTTATGTTAGCAGAATATAATTTTTATGTTTTTATTCGAAGTAGGATGGATTGAAGTAAATAATAATTTGAATAACATGAAATCTTGACAGTATGCCTTTGAAGATTGACACTACCAAAATGTCATATCTCGTAATGAATTAGAGACTTCATCTCATGGTTGGGCCTAGGACGAATATTTTGGAACAAATTCTAAAAAAATCTCGAGAATACAACATCCATATAATATGACAAAGAGAGACAAGATGATAAATGCGTTAAAGGAAGTACATCTAGGAAAGAAACTAAGGAAAATGACAAATGATACTATAAGGAATAAATATATTGGTAGACTTTTAAGGAAAAAATAGCGAAATGGTTTGACACAGACCAAGAAGTGAAGCAGATTGACTCTATCTTCCTAATACTCTCAAAGTCAACTTATAATAGTAATGTTAATAGAAACCTCTTTAAATATTTGATCTACATTTATGCATTTTGTCCAATTTTAGACCTTTCTTTCCCATATCCCCTCCGTATTATTCCAAACTTTGTCCTTTAACGTTTCTGATCCATAATGCTTTAACTTTCGAAGATTATATCAATCAATCAATACTAATAAAAAAATATTTATTTATCTGTAGCTCCATATAGCTGGGTGGGACAAAACATAGGAAGTAGATCATATTCTGGTTCCACCGGCGACTATAAGACTGCAAGCAATCTCACCATCTATTCCTGGTATAGCGAAGTAAAAGATTTTAATAACAGTTGGGTCGGTTCTTTTGGAAACTAGTAAGTAGAGAAATACATATATATGTTAAATTTTTTTCCTAATTTGTATTCTTCGTGTATTATATTATTAGATTTGTTACCTTCAATACAGGGTTGACCAGATACAGGGAGCCCTGATATTTGGCAATATTCACTGGATTTTGTAAAAATGCTAAAAGAGGACGATTTTTATTTCATAAGGATCATATTTTAATAATACAGACATCCCTTATCAAACCCTCATTTCCAGTACCAGAAACGCTTATTTTTAAATAGGGAATAGACCATGTGTGGCATAACATTAGACAGATCTTTTGCTGGAGAATTCAGGCACCCATCTCTAAATCGAAACTTACAACTTGTGTGTACAACTTGTTAAATTGCTTTGTGTGTAGAACGTCAAAAAGTTATTTTTTTGTATAAAAATCTTCTTCTTTTGCTGATTGGTGACTCATCTCTTGCTATTTTAACGACACGGGTGTTCCCCATTTTGCTTATGTGGTTATTATATTCATTTTTCTATTTTTTACCAATTTGGTGTCCATTCATTTATATACTGTACGCTACATTTTCTTCTAATGTCTTCACTTCTGTGTAATTTCCTGTAATTTTTCTTAGTACACTCATCTCTGCCACTTCCAGTAGCCTTTGCGTCGTGACTGTGTCAGGTCCTGTTTCTGAGGCATATGTCATTATTGGTCTTAAACTGGCTTTATAAATTCCTGACTTCATCTCAGTATTAATGTGTCTGTTTAACCATGTGTTATTAAGGCGTCCTGTTAGTCCATTTGCTTTTTGTACGTGATCTCTCACTTCTTTGTCCAGGTTGTCATAGCTGGTCAGTGTAATTAGAAGGTATTTTATTTCCGTTACTTGATCAGTACTGATGCCATCAATTTCTAATTTACATCTGGTTGACCCTTTGCTGAAGATAAAGAAGACGAGGAGGACATATTTTACGAAAAACTGGAAAGCACTTACAGACAATGTCAGAATAACAACATAAAAATTATTATCCGTGATTTTAACGCTAAAGTCTTCATGCTGTCAGCAATCAAAATGGTTTACGCCTGATTGAATTCACAGCATCATTGGGAATGGTGGTAGTAAGTACATGTTTTCCTCACAAATATATCCACAAAGCCACATGGCAATCACCAGATGGTCAAAAAGAAAACCAAATTGACCATATACTAATTGATAGTCGACATTTTTTGGACGTACTAGATGTAAGAGCATGCGCTAATATAGACTCTGACCACTACCTCGTAAGAACAAAACTCATGGCTCATATATCAAACGCTAAAAAGGGACAGAGTTAATAATCTACGAAATATAATACTGATTATGAATAGAAATAGCCATACAAATTTATCTTTGAGGGTATACAAGGCAACTATCGAACACGGTGATCAATTTAATCTTGCCCAAGTACTTTCGATCAATAGATCATCTTCAGGGGCATTTCGTCAGTTGTGGCCTATCCGACATAGTAGAATGTCATAAATGTAAAATTTGGACACAACAATACTAAATACAATACACAAAGACAAACAAACACTTTAAAATTTTTAAGGAGAAGCTACATGAAGCTACATGTTGTTTGTCTTTGTGTATTGTATTGTTATGTCAAAATTTTACATTTATGACATTCTACTATGTCGGATAGGCCACAACTGACGAAATGCCCCTGAAGATGATCTATTGATCGAAAGTACTTGGGCAAGATTAAATTGATCACCGTGTTCGATAGTTGCCTTGTATACCCTCAAAGGTTAATTATTCGAACATTTAACCTTATATTGATGAAAATTTATGACTAAAATTTAAGTATAGAAGAACACTGGACCAAATGCAAGGAAGCTATCCATACAACGGCTACAGGCTTTTTAAAACCTAACCAGGCTAAAATAAACGAAAACTGGTTTGATGAAGAATGTAGATCCAATAACCAACAGCAAAATGAAGCATTTAAGAGAGTTCAGCAGCGCAGAACGAGATCAAACCTGGAAGACTATGAAAATCTTAGACGTAAAGAGAAAAAGACGTTTAGAAGGAAAAAGAAAGAGCCATCCGAAAACGCTCTAAACGAGATTGTTAACTACCACAATAGAAAAGACTTGCGAAAATTCTACCAGAAGATAAACAGCTGCAGAAAAGAATTCATACCTAGAATAACAGCATGTAAAGACAGATATGCGACTTCACTGCGATTTCACTAACTTAAAACTTAAAACCTAACTTAAAACAAAAAAGTGGAGATTGTTGCATTTGATTTTACAAACCTCATCATCATCATCATCAACAAAAGTTGAAAATTGTCTAGGTGAATATCAAGCATGTTTCAGAGCAAACAGATCGGTAACTGACCAAATTTTTACAATGAAACAAATTTTAGCTAGCTCATATGAATTCAACCTAACAGTACACATGATTTTAGAATGGCATATGATACTATAAAAAGAAATAAAGTATATGAAGCACTAGAATATTTTGAATTTCCACTAAAAATAGTAAGACTGACTAAATGCATACTCAATGATACTAAAAGTAAAATCATGTTAGAAGGACGGGTTTCAGATAGTTTTATCACCAATAGAGGTCTGCGACAAGGTGATCCGTTATCAACAGATTTTTTCAATTTGATCTTAGAGAAGATTTTACGAGAATGTAACATCTACACTAGAGGCACAATATGTCATCACAGGCATCAATGTGTAGCATATGCAGATGATGTTACCTTAATAACAAGAAGACCTGCAGAATTAAGAGAAATCTTTATTAGAATAGAGAGAATAGCCAGAGAATATGGTTTAGAAATAAACGAAGAAAAAACAAAATATATGGTGATGAGAGGAAACGAAAATCATCAAGGAGAGTCCTTTAAGGTACAAAGCCCAAGTAAAGAATATAACTTTGAAGTTGTTAGCCAATTCGACTACTTGGGAGTGACACTAACAAATATGAACGAAGAGAACCAAGAAATCATAAAAAGAATGGCCAAAGGTAGTAAGAGTGCTGGGAGCCTGACTAAGATACTGAGGTCGAAGATAATATCCAGAACAGCAAAAAAAAACGAATATATACAACAGTTATCCGACCTACAGTACTCTATGCTAGCGAGACCTGGACACTAAATAAAGATATGGAAGTAAAATTAGATAGATGGGAACGAAAAATTCTTAGAAGGATATACGGAGGTGTAAAAGAGGGGAACATCTGGCGAAGAAGAACGAATGAAGAAATAATGCAAATATATGGGCAACCAAAAATAACAAGACTCGCGAAAATTCAAACATTAAGATGGCTCGGGCATATAGCAAGAATGAAGGAAGGAAGAGTTCCCAATGAATTAATAAACACGGAGGCTGGTACAAAAAGAAAAAGAGGCCGCCCCCGAAGAAAATGGCTGGAGTTGGCAAAAGAAGATCTGAAGTCGCTGCGGGTACAAGATTGGAAAAACTTAGCACATGATAGAAAGAAATGGAAGAAAACCGTTGAAGCCTTGGGCCTTTGAGGCCTGTTGAGCTGAACTATATATATCATTATCATCATCATCAGTGGCGTTACAGCTCTTTATGAGCCAAAGCTTTCTTCAGAACAATCCTCCATTCGCCCCTGTCTCTGGCAACTCTTCTTCATGCTCTAATTCCGATAGACTTCAAATCATTTTCTAGGTTTTCTTGGTACCTAAGTCTCGGTCTTACTCTTCTTCGTTGTCCGATGGGCCCTCTTCGGTCAAAAACTTTTCTGACTATGGCATCTTCCTCTCGAATGATTACATGACCTATCCATCTGAGGCGTGCTACCTTAATGAATTTTACAACGTCAGGTTCTCCAAATCTTCTATACAACTTAAAATTGTAACACCTGCACCACAAACCTTGTTCTTTTATGCCTCCATATATTCGTCTTAGCATTTTTAGCTCAAAACGTTTGAGCAATTCTTGGTCATTCTGTGTTAGTGTCCAAGTTTCTGAACCATATGTTAGCACTGGTCTTATTAGTGTCTTGTATACAGTAAGTTTAATTTTTCTAGGCATTTGACAAACTCATTTATTATATTGCGTTAAAGGGGTGTTTACATGTGGGGTTTTGATAATTCATGAAGGAAAGGTATTTCATTGATTCTGTAGCAATCGTATATTGTGGTTTTCAATAGTTTTAGAAGTGAAGCATCTCTAGGTATTGTAAATATGTAGTCACATCACTTTTTGGGATTACAGGGTTCATTTTTAACTATTTTGTAAACAGTTAAAACTAGAATTACTGTTAAATTGAAACATATTTGCTGGGTTGTAGCATTTAAATGACTTCGAATCTTCTTTAAGGGCACTTTTTTCAGGAATTACATTTATACTGCCACTAGCACTGACACTTTTTACAAAATCAGTGTTGTTATCTCTTACTATCTCTTACTAAAACGACAACCAGTCGGTTTTAAAAAAGAAGGGCGACATTAAATATCGCCACATGTGTCCTAACAACTCCAGATTAATTTCATTTGACGTAAAAAATCTTTTTCCTAGTATCCCTCCTACAGAAACTTTTATTCTAGTAAAAAACCTTTTAGACCCAAATAGTACAAATCCAATAATTACATCTAAAATTTTACATCTTCTTGAAGTTTGCATAAACCAGGACTACTTTGAATTTAATAATAAAATATATACAAATAACAGTGCAGGACTTATAATGGGTAATCCTCTAAGCCCATTGCTATCAGATATTTTTATGGATCATCTAGAGACAAAGATTTCAAAACATCCCGTATTCAAACAGTTTTTATATTGGTGGAGATACGTAGACGATGTACTGGTATGTTTCACAGGAACTAACAGGCAACTCGACCAATTTTTATCATATATTAATTCACTTCATAGTCATATTGAATTTACAATAGAAACAGAACAAAATCAATCCATAAATTTTTTAGATTTAAAAATTAGCAGACTTCAAAACAAACATGACTTCTCCATATTTCATAAACCTACCCATACTGACACGACTATACACAATTCGTCATCCCATCCAACACAACATAAACTGGCAGCTTATCATAGTATGTTACATAGATTAACAGAAATTCCGATGTCAAAATACAACTTTGAGACAGAATTAAATATAATTAAAAAATAGCAGTAAACAACGGATACAACGAACAAACAATTAATAAAATGTTAAATCAAAAACTACACAAGAAACCCCTTCTGGGTTGAGAAATGCAAGATCACTTGCCTTTCTCAAGTGATCTATTTTGGCTTGGGTTTACAAATTTATAGTCTCTAATGAAATAGGTTGAGGAGGGGAGAACTGTTTGTCTCAAGTTGGTCATTCAGAATTTTATCTGTGTTTTTTAATTTGTTGATTTCCATAGATTCTAACAAAGATAGCTTAAGGCCTTTATTTTGAATGTGAAGAATTTTAAATTTGTCATTAAAAGAATGATTATGATCTAGATGGTGAAGTGCGTATGTCGAATCTGTTTTTCTATTCTTGAAAATAGATTGAGATTTAAAAATTAGCAGACTTCAAAACAAACATGACTTCTCCATATTTCATAAACCTACCCATACTGGCACGACTATACACAATTCGTCATCCCATCCAACACAACATAAACTGGCAGCTTATCATAGTATGTTACATAGATTAACAGAAATTCCGATGTCAAAATACAACTTTGAGACAGAATTCAATATAATTAAACAAATAGCAGTAAACAATGGATACAATGAACAAACAATTAATAAAATGTTAAATCAAAAACTACACAAGAAAGCCCTGAAATTAGTATTTCCACCACCAGAGAAAAAACCCAGTACCTTCTGCTCGATTACATGTACAGGCAAAATAACAACAAAAATTGCCAAACACATAAAAAAGAAAGGAATAACACCAGCTTTCCGAACAAATAACAACCTAGGCAAATATATTAAAAATAACAAGAGCCAAAATAAAAAACACTTAAATAGTGGTGTGTACAAACTTCAATGTGGCGACTGCCCAAAAACTTACATCGGTCAAACTAGTAGAAACTTTGATAAACGAATAGCAGAACATAGAAGGGCTTTCAAGAATAGAAAAACAGATTCGACATACGCACTTCACCTTCTAGATCATAATCATTCTTTTAATGACAAATTTAAAATTCTTCACATTCAAAATAAAGGCCTTAAGCTATCTTTGTTAGAATCTATGGAAATCAACAAATTAAAAAACACAGATATAATTCTGAATGACCAACTTGAGACAAACAGTTCTCCCCTCCTCAACCTATTTCATTAGAGACTATAAATTTGTAAACCCAAGCCTAAATAGATCACTTGAGAAAGGCAATCAGCCGAAACAGCTGTAGTGATAATATTTAAAATAAATTCTGTGGAAGTTTGAAAACAAAGTTTTCAGAGTTTTATTCTTACATGTCAAACGTTTTACAATGTTCGTTATTGCTACTGTACCAATTGGAGTGTTACCATCGAGGCTCCACAGTCTGATATTGTATGACCTTCTCTGATAGCATACTCTTACACTATTTGCGTTTTTCTTCTGCTCCCTAACCACATTGCTAACAATTTTAACTACTATAGTAAAACATTTTTTAGTCCCACATCGAAAGCAGTTGGACATTATACTCAAGTCGTTTGGGCCAATACCATCAAAGTAGGATGTGCACTGACTTTCTATACAACGACTGACAACTGGAATACCTACTTGATGGCTTGCAACTATGCACCGGGAGGAAATATCGTAGGACAATCTGTTTATGAAGTTGGTGCGCCTGCGTCAGCATGCGGAGCGTCAGGCGTTAACCCCACTTATTCAGCTCTATGTGGACCTGATGACATTTTGGATTCTTAAATGTTGCTAGTTGTATTCGTTTTGTGAATAGAATGTGCAAATATTTAATAGGAATTATGATAAGGTATAATAAATAAAATTCAAAAACACTCATCATTTTTATTCATTTATTTATTTACGAACCTTACACTTATTTTGGAAATTCATGAAAGAACAGTTTTTATGACAACTGTTTATATAGTGACACACAATTTGGCTTTAGAAATGGTATGAGTACAAGAGATGCTTTGTTCGGCTTGAATGTGCTGGCTCAGAGATGCATGGACATGAATCAGGATATGTACTTATGTTTTGTAGACTTTGAAAAGGCATTTGATAAAGTTCATCATAAAAAGCTTGTAGATATATTAAAAAGCAAAAATATTGACAGTCGTGATCTGAAAATTATATCTAGTTTATATTGGAATCAAACTGCCAAGGTAAGAGTTGACAGCCAGTACACCGAAAATATCAAAGTATTTCAAGAAGCGCTCTCAGACTCAATAGAAGGTGTATCTATCAATGGAGAAGTTTTGAATAACTTACGTTTTGCAGACGATACAGTAATAATGACGGATAACAACAATGATTTACAGAACCTAATGCAACGCCTTAATGAACGCTGTCACGAGTACAGACTGAAGATAAATTTAAAGAAAACTAAATGCATGCTCATGACTAAATCTGCACATGCAAATATCCAATTGACTATTATTGAAGATACTGCAATTGAGAGTGTTAATAACTATAAATACTTAGGAACATGGATAACATCAGATGTAGACCAAACCAAAGAAATTAAGACACGTATTGAAATAGCACGTACATCATTTATTAAACTTAAAAAGTTTCTTTGTTGTCGAAATATAAGGTTAGAACTACGCCTGAGAATGCTTCGATGTTACGCGTTCTCTACTCTTCTTTATGGTTTGGAAGCTTGGACACTAAAACAAGTTCATCTGAATAAGTTGGCCGCCTTTGAATTTTGGTGTTACAGAAGAATCCTACGAATATCATGGATTCAAAGAATGACAAACATGGAAGTAACTAGAAGGATAGCAAATGAGGCGGAAATAATATTAACTATTGAAAGACGAAAACTTGAGTACTTGGTACATGTGATGAGAGGGCAAAAATACGCATTATTACAACTTATTATGCAAGGGCAAAATCCGAGGAAAGCGAAATGTGGGAAGACGAAGAATATTCTGGCTTAAGAACTTAAGGGAATGGTTTGAATGCAGTAGTGCAGAACTTTTTAGAGCGGCAGTCAACAGAGTCCGCATAGCCATGATGATTTCCAACCTTGGATAGAAAATGGAACTTAAAGAAGAAGAAGTTTTTATATACAACTCTTACTGATCATATCTGCTATTTTCTAAGTAGTTTTGCTTATGTTCTTTTTTATTTTTTCTAGGATTTCTGTTAGGGTAGTCTTTTTATTTACGATTATTTGATCCTTGTCGGTTCTCGGCTAGAGATGTATTCCCAATTTCTAGCGCTTGTGGCAACTTTTTCCTTTTCTTCGTTTGTTGCAGTGTTAACCTTTAATTAAACGTTTTCTTCTTTTATCAATGTTTCTCTGGTTTTGATGTTGTGCTGATCATATCTGATGTGTTTTCAGATAAACCTTGGTTCAGGTTTTTAGTTTTTTATTTTTTCTAGATCTTCTGTTAAGGGCATTTTTATAATAACTGCTATGTATATCTGCTTTATTTGACCAATTTTTCTTTTCCTCCTTCTTTTTAGTTTCCATTTTTAAGTGCTCAGCGTTATTTGCTGGTACGTTCGTTTCTGTTTTTTCCGATGCCAAAGGCTTAGAAACTTAGATATTCATATAAAGAAACTTCATTAAGAAGAGTCCTTAAAAAAATGCAATTTAGATGAAGGACAACAAAAAATAATCGTAAAATTTTGGTGTAAAAAATGGAAATAAGAACTTTTAGAGTAAAATATTTGAGACAGATAACATATTTCAGAAGGCAAAATAGATCAACCGTTTATTTAGATGAAACATACATATATATACAGGGGATATACTTCCTCGAAAAATTGAAGACAATTCCACAAAAGGTTTGTGTTCTATTCTATTTCAACAGGTCAAAAACTTGTAACTGTAAATTGATGTACATCTATGTTATAGAAGACTCAAAATTAATTTTTTTTGAGTAAAATATTGACTTTATTGATTGAACATAATCTAATGTCCACAAGCATCTTACTGGTGATTATTAAATGACTTCCTTTAACTACAACTACAGTAAAGTTTGTTTAGCAGTAAATGGTTGACTTCAATTAGTACGACAATAAACATCTTGGGTTAACCGATAATAGTATAAAAGGCCCGGTTTCATGTAAAATTTAAATATGTTTCCTGGTAAAATTTGTCGATCTTCATTTCTTAATGTTGATTTAATTGCGTACAATCCAAACTCATTATAGTTTTCAGGTATTTATATAATAAGTTTATGGAATTCAACACCAACCAGTATTTAAATACGAGTTCTTGATAAAATTTGTTTGTCTTTATATACCACGGGAGAGTGTTAAGTAGTTTTCCTCATATTATTGATTACGTTTTAAAAAGTATATGTTTGTGATACATTGGCAGAGGAAATTGGACATACAGTGCTGCGGCTTCCACTGTATTATTGTATGTTTCAACTCAAAGAACATATGTGGCACGAATTGAAGTCTAACGTGAAGTCACAAAATATTTTTCCAACGTTAGGCAGTACTGTTTCATTCTTTTTTAAACAATGATGGTAGTGTTGTATTAATAGGTAAATACAAAGTTTGAGAAGACATTATTTAAATATCTTTTCTAAGAAATATATGGCCGGAGCGAATTTACCTATGCCCCTTATCTGTGGGGTAATTAAATCTGACCGCGGGAGCAAACTAGTATACACCCCAACCATTTTTTGCTAAACAAACCTTACCAGTTTTACCCTTGCTCCATTTTGTATATTTTTTCCGATAATGTATCTTAAATTTTAAATGCTAGGATCACTTTTTTTAAATCAACAAAATGTGTTTACCAAGAAAACTCATTGTATTATAAAATAGTTCAAGAACTCCATAAATCTCAATACAAATAACAATAGCTATCATATAAATAATGAGTGTTTAATTTTTTTTTATTTCCTTGAATGTTATTTTATTACGGTACTGTAAAATATTTTGATATTGTTAAACATAATGCATATTAAATTTTTTAATAAGCTTTATACTTAACAATACTATTACCAAAAATTGGGTTAGACAGTGTTAAAATTGTCTATTAAAATTGGCTCATAGAGAAAGGTAAATGAACAGTCATTGCCACTATAAGAAAGGTAAGGCTAAAAACCACATAAAGACAAAAAACCAATAGTTGCCTCAATATTTTTCAAATACCAATTGTTGCCACACGGTTATTGCCATAAATATATAACGACATTTTACTGAAAAATCTTGTTTGTTAAATAAAAATCTAAAAAAAAAGTTAACAAAAAATAATTAATGTAAAATATGTAAAATTGTTTTAATTTTAATAATTTTACATACTTTTAGTAAGTCAATAGAACTTTATCAAAGAAATTTGATAATTACAAGTTGAAGGAATTTGCACACCCACACAATTGTACATCTAATTTCATTCATTGTCATACAATTGTCACCTTCATAAAATCTCAATAAATAACACACATTTCATAAATATATCTCTTGAATAAATATAAATACCTTTACAATAGCAAAAACTTAAGTTCTCCATTCAACAATACAGGATAGTTTAAACCATGTTTTTCCAACCGTTAATTAATAGAGTACCGGCATGTAAGTATTTATTTACTAATTTATTACCATTCAGTAGACTATTTTATACCAATTTGTGGGTCTTACCTTGTCTTCTTAAACAGTTTATCCATTTTGAAAAACCACAGACATGTAATATTGGCATAGTTACTGTAATTTATATCATTTATCTTTGTTTATCTTTATAAGACAACACCCTATTTAGGGTTTTATTATTTCAGCATTTAATTAACTTTGTATCGAGACCTGAAGATGCTTTGCATATTGTAGAAAGCGAAGCCGGTCGTCCATATAGTTAAATTAAACTGATTTTGAGTAACTCTCTCTTAATACCGTCATTTTGATTATTTCTTTTCTTCGTTTGGAGTACCAGAAATTGAATTCACTACGAATTTTGGCCACGATGAACGGCATTTGGAAGGCAATCTTAGATTCCCTTGCCAATTTAGTCATCAAGCTGTTTGCTTTGCAAGTTTTAGAAAGTACGGTGGCTGAGATTTGAATTCGATTTCGCCAGGTAGAAATCGTATAATTTCTCTTTTTGTAACTCTTTTTTATTATTTCTTTTACCTATTTGAAATGGACTCACACAAGCAACACATTCATGATGTATTATAGATAAACTGATAACTTGTGTTGATGAAATGGTCAACAACTGTAAAGGTTGTTATATTGGACAAACAAGCCAATGGCTAAAACAACGTATTACCCAGCACAAAAGTGACTGTCATAAAAGTAAAAACACATGCGCTCTTTTTTGGAGTACTATTCTTTCCTTGATTCAAAAATCACGCTATATCGCTTAGGAATCGCATAAAATGTTAAAATTTGCATGAAAAATTATACAATGTATATAAATAGTCAAATGAATATCTTTCCCAAATGCCTTTAACAATATCTTTAATTATCATTTAACAAAACATAGATACATGAATTATTTTAAATATGAAAATTATACTTTTAAGTACGTACTGATATTGCTTAACAACTATGTCGTAATTGTTCTCCGTCAATAACAATTAAATAAATTATAACTTTCGTTACTAAATTAAAGTCAAATAAAAAATTTAAATTAAAAAATTTGTTGGTATTGGAAAAATTCTTAAAGATAATATACAGAGTGTTCTCACACTCACTTGGAATAGTTTGCGTTTGGATGCTAGGTCTTACAACTAAAAAGATGATACAGCAGTCGCCAAATATGAAGAACCAAGGGCTCGCATTTAGGATACTTCGGGCACGTCCATCGGTAGATACAATTGGTACATAGGTTACTTAGAACAGGGTCACCGATTAGTAGTATAAAATTTATACTC